ACTTTGCACTATGGTTGCAATGCTTCATTTTAACCAAAAATGTACAACCTTTCATATAGGTTCAATTTACAATTTATACATTACAATTTTATCTAGATTTTCGAATATGTATCGAATATGTATTTGTTAGGTATTGATGTAGCTCATGAATAAAAACAATGGTAGAAGCCAATGCCAGGCCTCTGTGGTACCTAGAGAAGAAGCTGCTGCTCATTCCATCTCTTTTTGCAAGAGTGGCTCTGAAGATTTCACACATGTTACTATTTTCCTGTAGCAAATGTTCTAGTTAAAACAAACTCCTAGACACTATACTTGCAGTCTTCTTTAAAGATTTTAATAGAGCCCTCAGAGGTCAGCTCTCTACTGATTAACACAAGGTTGTGACAATTCCATACCTACAGAGAGGCTTCTCTTGGGTGAGAGAGAATGGACTACTGTGTCCCAAGTATTAAAGTGCACTCCTTTCAGTTATACTGTAATTGTGTCTCAGGCTCTAAAATAAAAGTTGCTTATTTTATTCTGACATGATGACACAATGTGCTCTAATAGTGCTCCAATATGTGCATTTCATTTAGCCATTGCTGGAACTGGCAAGACTAGAAAACTAGTGTTTATGCTTTCCCTCAACATAAAACAAATTGTTTAAATGTTTTGTATTAATGACGATCCTTTTAATGTAACATAGGAGTACCTTTAATATTGTAATCTGAAAGTACAACAAAGCTTAATTAAATCAAACATCAATTAAAAATATGAGTACTCTTCTTTTATCGTTTTCAGTTTTGATCATTTAGTACCAGTTCATGGTGAAACAATCCAAATATCTTTTCTTTCATTCCAAGCTATGCATTTTACTCCATAACCTACAGGTTTCACAGAAACACATTAAAATAATAGTTTTGCTCCACCTGCTGCAAGACACACTTCCTTCATTAGTCCCACCTTTCTTCTGAATTGTCTGCCTGACTGTCTTGAAACTTCATCCAGGTGTAGACTATTTTAATGCTAGTAGACCAAGCATTTTTATATTCTAATAAGGGCAGAAGAAGTCTGTCAGACATATCAATGCCTGTCAATCTAGTTTGGAGTTCTCTTGTTATTGGTTATTTTAGAATGTTTTAGAAGTGTATGTTTATAAGGGCAGGGTATGAGGGCAAACCGATTGCAGGTATTTTTTTTCTTGGATGGAAATACTTAGTTACAACAGGAACACTGCTGTTCACTAAGCAATTACTCCTGGGGATCTCCATGTTTTTTTTCTCTAAATTGTACAATTGAGCAATATCTTAAACCCCACAGATTTCCAAAGTTGTTTTGGATAGTTAGAGGACAGTGTAAGAACCAGCTGAGTAGAAAAAAGAAAAACAATGATTATGGTGGTGTAGCACAGATAAAACTTGATGTTGTAAAAATCTTGTTGTTATGAGGATTGTGCTAACCTCCACTGTCTCAACATGTTCATAGTTTCAACTTATTGTATTACAGTATTGCATATGGTTTTAAATCTGTGAGATTTCAACATGAAAGCTTTTCTCTCTCCAAACAAGCTTTTGTGTTAATAAGAAATATTTTGCTTACTGATTATATAAGACATAAAATAAGGTTGTTTGTGGAGTGCTAATCACTACCTAACTCAACCTGAAAGCACACTTAAGTATACAACACTTTCAAGTGCCAGACTTGTTTCTGTTGATATACCAAAACTATATCAGTAAAGCACTTCAAAGAAAACAATGTTACCTTACTCTCTTCTAACATTGACTCAATGCCAGTCTCTAATATTCATTTTTTCTTTCATTAAAGAGCATTATAATTGCCGTGGGAGTCAGGTTATTATGCTCTAAAATATGTATTCAGTAAAATAAATTTCTCCACATCAGAAACAAATTCTTCAGACAGCTTTTACCACCAAAGGGAATAATCATTGCTTCCAACAGAGCTTTGTCACCTTCCAATTTACTCTCCTCTGGAGGCCTGAATCCTTCCGAAAGCTCCTTTCCCTTCCCTCCCACTCCTGAATCCATGACCCTTTTCCCTCTCTCCCTTGTGAACATTTCCTATTCTCACTCCCACTCCCCTTCCAAATGATTTTAAATATGAAACTTCCTCCTGTTATAAGCCAGAGAAAAGTATCTCAGAGATAGAAAAAAAGAATTATATCTTGTCTTGTTCTCATTCAAGGTCACTTCCAATACATATAACATGTTTACCAATACTTTTGCTTTGAACTGAATGCCAGAGGAAGAAGAAAATAGGGAGGTTCAACCCTGATAATCTGTGTAAAATTTCCTTGCCATATTTAAAAAAAAAATGTTTTCTCTTACTTCCTGTTCAACAGTCAAATAACACAGCACTGGAAACCTAAATATGTCGTGTTATTGGATTGCAGACTGATTATATGATCTAATTATATGAAGAACCATTTGTCGTCATTCTGTCATTTATCAGCATTCTACAAAGTTCCTCTGTATAATTTTCATAGGATCAAAGAAGTTAAGAAAACCAACAGCTTCATACATATCCAAAGCACAAACTTGAGTAAGTTTGATACAAACATGCCATAGGCACTTTTTTTCAATAGATTTACAAACTTGTTTATTCATATCCTTACATGCAAATGATCCTATTTGGGAACTCGGTGCTGTGGGTAGTTAATCCTGCTACTTCCAGTGTTCAGTTCTGTATGGGGAACATTATGTGGGATTGACACACTCTCCCAATCCTTATCTGAATTATCTCCAGGTGCTTCAGTTTATTCCCATGTTCCAAAGGTATGCTGTCTACGTTATTCAGGGTTTCAAAATTGTCTCAGCATGTAAGTGTGTGCCATGCGATGGATTACTGTCCTCTCCAGAGTGCAGTCTCATCATGTCTTCTGTATTGGTTGGGTGAGGGTCTGGCTCATCACAAACCTCTACAGGATAAGGCTGCATCATTCCATTTTTTATAGTGGTCATTCAGTTTAATGGAAAATCTTGGAATGGAAAGTCTTGTCGATTTAATATTCTGACATCCAAACCCAAAGAACTGCACCCCCTCTTTAAAGCATTATGGCACACATCTTCTTTAATATAAATTTGCACAATTGCAAATAAATTGCACAATCTACATACAATGCATTATGTTAATCACATTAAAACATTAGCATATATTAGATAGCTCCAATATATTGTGAAAAATATCAGGTAAAGAAAACTTCTGCAAGTTATTTTTGTGGAGACTGTCTTTTAGGTATTCCCCAGTGTTAAAACACTTATGTAGTTATGCCTGTATATTAAATTGTGCATTTGAAAAAATGCATTGCAATTTATATAAGAGAAAATAATTATGTTCTTTTGTAGGGCTTCCAACAGGGTGATAAACATAGTAATACATACAATTGATTGTTTTCAGTAGAATTTCAATATTTTAGTAGATATGTCTAAAGTTAATCAGCTATAAAGAGCAAACTATGCATTTGCAAGACAGTTATACCCATAATGTGAAATGTATCTTCACACTCTATCTCTTAATAAAACTTAGGACCCCTCAAGTGAACTATGTACATTTTTGCTTCCTAGAATACGTTATCTAGTAACCATGAATATAAAAGGATATTTGTCTGGGGGTTGATCTTCTGTTCAACATTCAAAAGTACTGGCACAATCTATATTCTGAGTTTGTATACTGCATGTATATCTGTGTGATGGAAAATGAATAACCGTATGAAGAAAAAAGATTCCTGGTAGCAAGTCCCCTTTTTTATTCTTAATTGGTGGTTTTGCTTGGGTTCATTTGTATACATTTTGTAGTACATTAAAAGAATTTCAAAATTGGCATTTTCACAAAATAAAATAATCTTCAAAATCCAGAAACATGAAAAAGAAACTGACGTCATACATCTTATACAGCTAAGCTAAAAAGGGAGATGACTGCATTCACTATAGCATTAACGTATTTTTACTTATAATAACTAAGGTATCTGCTGAAGACAAGCTCAGGGCTCCAAAAACAGAAAACCCAATCCACTATCAATACACTCCATTTTCTTTCCAATTAATAATTTTTGCTTCAAGCTGTTTTGTCTCCTCCCAATTCTTTTTGCAGACTGCAGCAGTACATTTATTGGTATTCCATCCCAGAAATGTAATATTAAGTTAAATATAATTTCTATTGATTATAAACTAAAAATACTTTTGAGTCTATATCTTAAGTATTCTTATTAATCTAATTTTTTAACTTATAAGGTCAAATTGAAGTGCATGATTTGTCGTTTCTAGTTAGATATGCAAGGACTGAGCTACTGTCCAACACAAAGTACTTGTACAGTACCATTCTTGTTGATTCCCAATATCATTTCAACCTATTGTAATTACATATTGAGGAATACTCTTAATATTCACATAGGGAAAAAGGAAAAATTGAACGACACCATATGTATAATATTTTCTTATATAAAAATAAACAGTCCATGGAGAAAGTACTGTAAGTGGAACGTTAAAGCTTCTATTATATTTTTTTGTGTCCACTAGAGGTCGCGTTATACCTCCCTTAATATATTAAATTATGCATTTTACTCTTTAGGTAATTTTTGATACTCTGAGCAGTTTTCTTAATCAAAACACGGCGTCCTGCGTGGGTAATTATCTGGTAATTGGAGACTCCGAAAAGATTGATTTTTTTAATCGAAAATGAATTAATTGCTTCTTTTGATGAATGCATGTTTAAACTGCACTTGCTCACTAATGATTCACTGCCAATCGGCAATTACTCTCCCACTGAACCACTCCCTTCTGGTGAATGCAGATTTATTTTATATGCATTGTTAATAAACATTAATTTAAATTAATACAATAAGTGAATGCCATTGATAGAAAACCTGCAGGAGACACTGCCACAGAGACATTCTGCTCACCCCCAACCCCCTTCTTTTCAGCGCTAAACTTATTATGCGGATAGGTCGTATTACCGCTGAGAAAATGGCTAAGCCCCACCCCAAAGAAAAGTGGGTGGAGGATCTTTGATTTTTCCGGGTGTTCACAGCTTTTACTGAATAATATCCAACAGCAGCAGACTTCCCTAGACAGTAGTCTGTCTGCGACCAGAGGGTGGATGAGACTAACATAAAGAATTTGGTGATTGCTGGTAACCGACACGGTTCTGATCTCGTTCAAACCTCTGCGAGGTAAGGGTGGTTGTATGCAGTGTACATTGGCACTTGAACAATCCAGTCTTTTAGCATACACTTTCAAATATTTAGGTCAAGGTTTTCCAGAGCAAATGTAATCGCAATTAGATAACTAGTTTTGAAGAAACATGCGATAACGACAGTTGCCAGCACTGAAGCATACGATTTAAATAGAAAGCAACAAAAGTAATTCGGTCCAAGTGTTCATGAAAACAAAAAGGTTCACTGATTCTTTTTTTTTTTTAAAGGTGAAGTGTCACATCACATCAAATAAATATATTATTTTCATATTTTATAATAAATTCACTATTGTTAGTTAAATAGTTTACCGTGATTTTTTGTTTATTCTTTCAGATGCATAATATTTTAAAACATTTCCAGAGAAAATATTTCAGGCTATTGTTACTGTTATTTACGGGTTATGTTAATATTCTTTATTATGTTGCACAATTTAAATTAACGAAAGGTGAGCATTTCATCGACGGTATGGATTAGCGTACTGTATCTGTTTATTTGGAATATTATGGTTACTTTTAAAATTTCTTTTTAGAAAGTCATTTGGAAGGAAGAATGCCGGGAATCATAAGTAAAAATTATGATATGGAGTTTGACTCCTTACAGCCTTGCTTTTATCCGGATGAAGATGATTTTTATTTCTGTGGTCCTGACTCTGCTCCACCTGGGGAGGACATCTGGAAGAAATTCGAGTTGCTACCGACACCACCTCTCTCTCCAAGCAGAGCAGGGCTCCCTGGAGAGCTTGCCTCTGGATCCGGTGACTCGGGTTCGATGGGATTTGGTCCAGCAGACCCGCTGGACTGGGCTTCAGAGCTCCTTCTGCTTCCCGAAGACGACCTCTGGGGAGCATCAGAAGGAGACCTGTTTGGCTCAGCTTTGGAAAGCAACCTGAACTCGATTATTATCCAGGACTGTATGTGGAGTGGATTTTCTGCAAGGGAAAAGCTTGAACGGGTGGTGAACGAGAAGCTCGGGAAAGCGATTTCAGCTGTCGCTACTTGTGGAGTGAGTCACAGCACAGAAAACAAGGCAGCTGAATTGAACAGTTCGGTTTCGGAGTGCGTGGACCCTGCTGTGGTTTTCCCTTTTCCGGTCAATAAAAGCACCGGCAACAGACGCTCAAATGGAGTTAGTCCTTCCTCAGCTGGTGGTAACATCAAGGACGACACCCCGAGTGACTCTGGTAAGAGAAGTTGCATCTTTTAAGAAGTCTTAATATTTTATGGTTATCGAGCACACAGTGGCTGTCCGCAAAAGAAATGAATTTCTCGCCCACTCAACATGACCACTTTTTGCAATCGTGTACAGTTAATTTATTTTATACGAAAACAGTATTCTTTGTTTTTCAATGTTCAACTGTAATGTTCATTTGAACTGACGTTCGGGTTTACGCTTGTTATATATAATTAATTACATAGAATGCAATTCACCGTCTATTGATTGTTATCTTTCCACATACAAGCAGTTACATCCAGCAGATGGCAGCAATAATTACGCCATTTTTCAATTGTTCTAAATTTAAATGACCTTAAGCCTAGTTGGCACATAGCACAAAAATATTAAGCTAAGGTTGTGTTCCGTCCAAGACGCAGTGCTTTGACAAAGGTGAAATTGTCAGAGGAGCCTAGGAAGAAATTAGAGGAATACTCCGAGGAGCCCAAAACTCAAAGACTCAGTCTCGTCAGGTTTTCCTTTAGCCTTTACTTTCAATGATTTAGTTCTACTGTCTGATTGCTTAACGTATCAATACAATGACAAGGATCCCAGTAACCAGTGCTCTATAATCCTGCAATACTTTAAAAATTAACAAAAGAACAGATATATCATTGAAAGTATTGTTTCAAGCAAAAATGATCATTTTAATTCATGCATAAAGCAGTGGTGATGAATAGTTAAACCAGCAAGTGACTTTTGTGAGAACTAGTAGAAAACTACACAGTGGTTACCCAGAAACAACAATTAATTGAAATACCAACTTAATGCAAATGAACTGCCCTAATTAAGATGCTGCAATTATTATTATTATTATTATTATTGAAACAAGGTACCATGCTCTTTATGATTGCTATGGCTGAATGTGGCACACCACTCAGCCTAACAACTGTTAGGGTTTCTAACAATTTTTTATCTGATGGATACAAATTACGGATAAGCACTATGGGGGTGTTGCATTTACTCAAGGGTTTCTGAGTTACAAGTCTGTTCACTAATTGGTACCACTTGTGCATGTGCATCCTCTTTTGTGCAATTTAAGAATCAAACAAAGTAAACGGTTAACTTGAGTAGGCTGTAGTCTATAGTCTTTGAGTGGGAGATTTACTTCAAATGTGGTTCATGTGGTGTTAAGAAATCTTCTGCCAAGTTGCAGGTTTTGTAAGCCTGTAAAAACCCCTGCCAGTGTCGAAATGGGTTCTGTCCCTTTAAAGTCTTGGTTGACAGCTTTGAACAAGAACTGCCTCCCAACAGCTGTCTTTTTGGCTCTGCTCCAAAGTGCTGGCTTAAGAAGACCCACCAACTAAAGCTACACTGAGGTTTAGATAATATAATTCTGGCAATTATATAGATTTCCGGTGCTTTCAGATGAAGCGAAAGACATGTTTTTTTTCTTTGTGGATTCTTTTTAAAAGAAACATGTAACAGTTTGTGGTTCACAGAGGAAAGTGGGAGTTTCCTTTGTTAGAAATTCCCTTCTGATTTTGATGTACCTATCTCCATGCAGTGTTTACATAAAAACATTTCTTTGCTTTTAACAGGCAAGCAGACATTCACAGAACAGCATCTTATAGTTCCATTTGAAGTGCAATTTTATAATCTACAAAATAGAAAACTGTTGTCTTGGTTTATAAGGAGATCAATAATCCCCTAACCATTTTCACAGCCTCATTATAAATAACCTCTCACATTAGATATACACATATGGTTGTATTTATCACAAATGTTTGGTAACTAGTTAAAAATGCCCATCTTAACAAGATTTAGAATTAGTAGAAATATGATTTAAAAAATTTGAAGGCAAGAATAGATTGCTTTTACTTGAAGGCTTGAATAGATTGCTTTTATAGTAAATGAAAGAGATCAAGGAGCATTATAATAAAAGCTCCAATACAGATTTATTTTACCTATGGTATTTCAGATAAATTTAAATCTTTGAGAATTTCCATATTCATAATGAAATATTTTAAATGCTTTTACATTCTCTTATGGGTACCAAGGAGTGTTCACCTATCACATGTAATAATCCTTTCCCTAAGGGTATAAGTCAGACAGTCAACCTTGACTTGCCCTTTTCTTTTTTTTGTAGTCCCTTCCTGTTCACATTGCAAAAGGTCATTCTTTCCAATTTCAAAGAATTCATTTTGTTCTTTGGTCACTCTAGATGACAATGAAGATGACGAGGATGATGAGGATGATGAAGAAGAGGAGGAAGAGGAAGAAGAAGAAGAAGAAGAAGAGATTGACGTAGTTACAGTGGAAAAGAGACGATCAACCACCAACAGGCCAGTGACTACTCTAACCATCACTGTTAGACCCAAAACTAACAGCAGCAGCGGCGGCAGCAATGGTGCAGGCAGTGGTATCGGTTCTACAGGTGTGACAAAGCCTCAGCAAGAGGTGATCCTCAAAAGATGTGCTCCAATCCACCAGCAGCACAACTATGCAGCCCCCTCTCCATACACAGATACAGAAGAAGTACCCGTGCCACCGAAGAAAATAAAGAACGACGTAGGTCGGCCTTCCAAGAACATAATACCCCAGAGATCCAAAAGCACGAGCCCCCGAAATTCAGATTCAGAAGACAGTGAGCGGAGGCGAAACCACAATATTCTCGAGAGGCAGCGGCGCAATGACCTGCGGTCGAGTTTTCTCACGCTACGGGACCACGTGCCAGAGCTCATCAAAAACGACAAAGCTGCTAAAGTGGTTATTTTGAAAAAAGCCACAGAATACGTACACTCCCTTGAAGCAGATGAACAGAGGCTTCAGTTGGAGAAAGAGAGACTTCAGATTAGACGCCAGCAGTTGCTCAGAAGGTTAGAGCATGCAAGGACTCGCTAAACTTCATCCATCAAGACTTTCTGCCACTTTTGCACATGTTTTGACGTTAAGAATGTCAGGTTTACTTTCAATCCAGTCACATCATATATATACAGATGGAACATTGTTTTAACTTGGCCATATTGCCTAAGATCAAAGACAGTTATAATTGAATGGACAATGAAATAGCATCTGCAGGCCTCTACTTAATTTCTTTTAAGGACAATGATGCCAAACTTTGGCCATATTTAAGGCATTTAAACTTATTTTTCATTCCTCTTACTGGTGCTCAAATCTGAAAGGGTATGTTTCAAGGTGAACCTTAAACCTGTGTACCCTGCTTTTGTAAATATTTACACAATCTGCCTTTTTTGTACAACATTTTTAGTTTCTTTTTTTAATGTCAAAGCTGCCAATACTAGACTGGAAGTTTATATTCCTTAAAAGTACTGTAATACCTCAATGTTTGAGGATCTGAAAACTTTGTAATATAACAAATATATTGTTACTCCGTTATGTACTGTACTAATTCTTACACACCTGTATACTTTAGTGTGACGCTGATACATAACTAAATTTGATACTTATATTTTCGTATGAAAATGAGTTGTGACTTGTAAGTAGATATTACTTTATCCCTTGGTTTTTGGACTAAATTTTTTTGTACAGAAATTCTCTATAAGCATTTACCTAGCCTTTTTTTCTTCTTGTTTATGTTTGTTACTGTTGGGTGCATAGAACTGGGTAAATGGAAAAGGTCTTTGTTCTGTTGTATATTTAGTGCTGCAACTCATAGCACTTTGAAATACCTCATGTTTACGAAAATAAATAGAAAATTAAAGATGTCTAGTTTTCTTTTTAATTTATTCTTCTGGGAGTATCTTATATCGGTAATCCTATTTGAAATATGAACATTTTCTGGAAAAAGTATATATAAACTTTGTGGCTTTTTAGATTTCTCATTCTTTGAGAGAACTTGAATTACTTATATTTAAATACACTATAAATAAAATCTGGGCCCTCAAAATATAGCCTTGAGGTTTTTAAAACATGTTTATGAAATGAAGTTTAGTCAAACTGACATGTAGTGTATGTTTGGTATTTACGAATGACCATTCAGATGGCATAATATTCTTCATAAGATCTGCAAACACTACTCCATTGTATTTGATTTTTGGATGTCTTTATTACTCAAATATTACCTTATCACACCATTTTAGTGGGATTTATTCTCCCTGGAAAACCGCAAAAATAAAACTTTCTGGATGGTGGTGGCAACTGGGGAATTTATTTCACAAATTATAGATTTTAATGTTTGCTTATTATAGTTTAGGAAAAGTGGCCCTCGGGACACTTTCAAAATGAAAAGTTGATTTGATTATACTCCAATCTTTCGTTAATTTACATCAAATCACAATTCCATTTCTCTGGAAGTAATCATGATGATGGAGTTTAGATCCTTTAGAACTAGCATACTGTAGAAGTGTCTAAATTTAAAACAACCAAATTGTTCTCTGAAATGCAGTTCCATCCAAAAGTACTGTAAATGTAAATCAAAATGATGTTTTTTTTGCTTAACACTCAAGGAATTTCCACTGAGTGATAAATTAGTTTTATTTTAATTTTAGGCATACATATTGGAACAAAAACCTACTGTGTGTTAAACCCTGCAATTTCATGTGATCCTTAGTATGTGGGAACATTCACTTAGAATAGATTTCAGAATTTACAACATTATACCTAGAGGAGATAAACTTGGCTATACTTACGATTTTCCATTTTCTTCAGATTAACTCCTTGTATGCATGGAGTTTGAGTCATGATTCATAATGAAGCACTTCCCATTAAGAAAATACATTTTGTCTTCTATATTTGTGGACAAAGATGTTTCTATAAATGTCACATTAATATGCTGTAAACATGTTAGCCAGTTTCAGAGGTGGCATTACCTCTACCACACTCAAGATGGGAAGGTCCAGTTCTTTTCTTTCTCCCCACTTAAGCCTTCACAAAAGTGCTGAAATATAATCTTGAAATAACCATCTGTGTCATCTGTCCATAAAACATTGTTCCAAAACCCGTATCACATCTTTGTAGTTGTAATTTTTCCACTTGTTTGTGCTAAAGGTTTAAAGGCGGTGTTGACTTCTTTCACATAATTCTTCTGAGCCATTCTTCCGAAAACAGGATTTTGATAATGTGAGCTGTGAACTCTAGGTTGTTGTGTTGTGATTTCACAGACAGTTATTTTGGGGCTTTCCTTCATTGTTCTGAATTGTTCCATCATCAACTGCAGATGTTTTTCTTGTCCAAACCAAAGTCTTATCTGACAGGCTATTATATCTGAGCTATCTGTGCTGTATTCCAAATGGCTGACATTCAGTTTCAGACTTTCCTGCTTTTTTACCAAATGACTTTAGTTTTAATTTTTGTACAGACTCCAAACATTGAAGGCAAAGGTTACAGGTTGATAGGATCTTCACAGTGGTGCCTATTTAGACACCTGACCAAGAAGATACACCTGTCAGCTAACTACTTTTGCTCCTTCAAACTAAAGAGGTTTAACACTATCAATTTGTTTTATTCAGTTTATTAAAAAATACTAAGGAGGTATACATATTGGTCACAATTTCTTTCATAAGAAATTATTAGTGGTTCTAGTTGAAATCCCAACTACACTTTAGACTACACTATTCCAGTTCTTTGGGAGGTTCTTTGGTTATTATGGTTCCTAGTAGGGCAGCTTTCCAGTTGGAGAGAATAGCACCTGAGTTGCCACTGTCAGTTTATTAATGTTTAACCTGTAATTTAAAAATGAAAGTGACTAACTGAAACCTGATTTAAATTTCAGAGAGAAATCACTGAATGAACCAATTTACAGATGTGGTTAATTTTAAAATGAGGTATGATGTGAGTATAAACATTTGTCAGACTCTTAAATGTAGCAAACACTAAGCAATTTTGTATGAAATGTTTCACCAAGTGAAATATTCAGATAGGATGTACTGTAAGCTTATCGTAGTATCTGCTAAAACTGGTATTCATTTAAGATTCTAGAAATCATTTTTTTTTCAAAAACAGAACATACATCCATTTTCAATAACCACCTAATGCAATACAGGGTCACAGTGAACCAGAACTAGCAGAAAATAAACAGATACGTGCTGAATAGGACATCCATCCAATTCACGGTCATTTCCCGCCAAACATAGAAGGGACAATTTTGAGATGTCAATTAACCTAGAAAATATGTCTTTGGATTATGGGAAGAAATAGGATCCCTTAGCAAAAAGCATGTAAGCATAATACTCCACACAAGACACCTCAACAACACCCATGTAGTGTTAAGCGTATATTGACTTCATATATTTAATTTGCTTACAGCAGATTTGAGTGTTGACATCTTTCAATACCAACAGGATTTTTTATCTTTGGAAAACATTTGCTGATTTTTTCCTTTAAAGAAATCAAATACAAAGGAAATAAACTTTAAAATAATGGGATTAAGGGGTTTAAAAGCAAAATATTAGTTATGTCATAAAATATTGCTGCAACTTTCACATAGCTAAATAAACAATTCTCGATCTACTTTCTCCGGTGTATAAGATTACCGCCTTCAGCTGCAAGTCAGTTTCTAATGAAGCCCTGCAGGTTGTAGATGAAACAAAGACTACTGTATGGAACTTAGCATTGTCAGCTGGTGTTGAATATCCAGTAATATTCACCTATCAACTCTTTGAACAGAGTTACATCATTTTTTACTTCCAAGTATAAACAAAAGAGCTCAAAGGATCAACTTAAATAGTCAGTCTTTAGTGAAGTTTTCCTTTGAGTATTTGTGTTTTGCTAACTAGCGTCAAAACTTTCCAGTTAAAGCCTGGAATTTTCTCTTTGAGTAATGTGCTTTTTAAAAGAGAGGTAAAATCAGCCCTGGCCAAATCAATACATTTTCAAAATGTGTTAATTTTTTAATTGATAAAAAGAAATATTGCTTTTACACATATCAACATAGAACTGCTTAATCATTATTATGAAGTTGAGATGTTTCCACTTTTATCAAAGCATATAGTTTGACTAGGGAAACATTTGGTAAATAAACCAGAAGGTCAAGTATGAAAACCAAGGGGCATCAGAGAGCTATGCATTTGTGGGGATGTGGGCAAGATAATCAGGAAGTTCAGCCTTTTAGTTAAAATGATTAAGGATAACCTACTCACCAACTTGGTTGAGGTTTAAATGGTATCTGTGCTCCTGGAAAATTCAGTGTCCACCCTTCCCTTATAGTCTCACTTCAGCAATTCCTACTACAGATATTTCTATAAAGAAACATCTGGATAATGCACTTATAGTCTCACAGTGCTTAACAGTTTCCAGTAGCTATTCTATATTATCATATCAGCACAGGTCTCTACCCATTTCTTGCTCAAGCTACCTCCCAACTTGTTAATGATCACATATCTTATTGGCCAACCCTAAGCACAGCCTTTTAATGAGAATGGGTAAAAGTACATTCTCTATCTGCAATAATCCAGAAACTGGTGCTTAAACTCTTGAGGCAAAGAGCCTATACAACTTAACACTAAATTTGAAAGAATCCTCCATGTTGAAGTTTTGAATCAGACTACAGTATCTTTCCTGGGCTGCTTTTAAATACACATCTCAGCCAATTAAGTACACACGTGGCTAATTCCCTGTGAGCCTTTGCAGGTGAAGAAAATTCCCATCTGGAATTCCACACATTCTTTAATGGCTGAGGAATCAGACTCAATTTCCTAGTGTCTTCTGATTTTTTGTTCCTTTTTGGAGCTCGGTTTAATAATTTAACTCCATAATTGCAATACTTCTAGCCAGATTCAAGAGGCATTTTTTATTCAAGTATAGATTTCATAAAATGAATATTTGAGTTTTGAAAAATCATCTAGTCAACAGAAGACAGCAGAAGAAAAATCCCATGCTTGCCTACAAATAATTGCCTTAATTGTTTAATTGAATACACAGGTTGGAGAAAAAAAAACAACAGAATACCCTAGACCAGGGGTTCTTAACCTTTTTGAGAATGTGAACCTTTTTTAGGTTTAAAAATATTTCGCAGTCACCCCCTGTCCCCTTCCACACACACAGATATAAAAATCATCACATTGTATAAATTGTAAACCTACTCAATAATAATAATAATAATAATAATAATAATAATAATAATAATAAAAATAATAATAATAAAAATAATAATAATAATATTTTTTATTTATAGATCACCTTTCATACAAGTTTTTTCAACTCAAAGTGTTTGTTACAAAATATTAAGTGAAAAAAACTTTAAGCAACTTAAAAAAAGAAACAATAACAAATTAAAAGAACCATACACAATGCAAATAGCACTGACATTATATAAGAAAAAGCAAGTAAAAGCAAGAGTAAAAAAATAAGTTTTGAGCTGCTGTTTAAAAATATACACAGAGCCAACCTTTCTAATATTTTTAGGAATACCATTCCACAGTTTGGGTGCATAGTAGCGAAAGGCTGCTTCTCCAGTCATCCTAGGCTTAGTTTTTGGAATAATCTTTAAAAGTCATGCGCTTGTTGCACTGGCCTTTATGGAATTTACAGTACGAACAGCTTCACTTACGGAAAGCACCCACTTCACAGCTTTCCAGAGAATACTTCGTTGTGTAGGATACAATGATAATTTCTGGTATTTCAGAGTTATTTCCATTAAGTTCAGTAAGCTAGTTTTTTTCCACCAACATAGCAAGGCATCCATCAATACAAATAAAAACGACTTTCTAACAGTTTAGACTACTACTTTGAAAGTATTGTTTTACTTTTTTGAGCTAAATGG